TGAAGAAGTGTACACATTAATTTTTTAATGGCACAGAAATCCTTTTTGATCTTCTGTGCAAAAACATGTCTAGGCTTTTGCTCTCAGTTGCTCCTCTAGAAAGAGGTATTCACTGCTGCCTTTGTACTTTCATATTGCCACGATGAACTCCAGCCTTCAGATCTGAGGAGCAATCCCCATAAAGAGACACATTTTCCCTAATAGGAAATAGTCAAAAAGGAAAAGCTGAGAAGTAACAATGTCAGGTTATGAATGCATTCACTGTACTATGCTCTTTAGTATCAGGGCCGATGGATTCACATATTCAAGCATATTATTAAAAGGTAATATTGAACTTATTGGTGTTCTGGCAGTGTAGAAAGGACCCCAGCTTCAGAAATGGGCCCAATTAATATTAAGTTTGTGAAAGGAAAGATTTGGTGTCCTCATTAAAATGACAAAAACTTCATTGCAAGGAGTGAGAAATACATTTTTAGGGAAAGCTCCCATAGTAGCATTATATAGGTGATCACAACTTTTCTTTTTCTTTTTTTTTTTTTTTTTTTTTTTTTTTTTTCTTAGTGACAGTTCCAAACTGGGAAGATTATTATCAAGTTCCACTTGACTGTAGGTATCCATTCATTGGTGTTCATCAGCATGCCCTATTCCCCAGGCAGAACAGAAGCTATCTCTTCTCGTTTTCTCAAAGGGAAAATATTTCCACATATAGGCTCAAGGATATGTCTCTAACTAAGCCCCTAAATCTCTGCCCTTTTCTCATCCACGTATCTCTGTATGAGATGTAGAACATGAGCCTGCAGTCCAAGAAGAAACAAAAGAAGAAAAATGAAATATTACTCTTTTGTATTGAACCACATTGATTGCCAAAGAACAATCGTGCAAATAATGGCAGAAATAAATAACTGCCCATCTGAAAGGTCACATAATTTATAGAGTAAGCTGTGTGCTCTTTGCCTAAACTCTAGCTCAAAAAGCTGTGCTTCATATTAACCAAGTATTTCTTCCTCTTTTGGCAAATACTTAATGTTCTTTTTCTCTACACAGTTTTGTATATAATTACATTCACTTGTAGCATCTTCTTTTGGTATTGTGATTTTTAGGAGCACTGCCTGCCTGATGAAAATTATGGGAAATAATTTTCTGGGACATGTCTGGGAAATAGCAAGGGTAGATCCTATTTGTAGTGTTAGGAATCTAGTTCTCTATGTAATTACTTTCTCTTCAATGATATAAAATGTGTGTGATTACATTACTAATTAAAATCAGTAGTAGACACAAACATGAAGTAAAAGTGTCATGTGAAAGGTCTTTTGTAATTTTTTAAACCAAAATGCAAGATTTAAAACTGCCATATCAGGATATGTGCATGGCCATCTACAGAAAACAAATGTGGACACTGAGGATCTCTTAATATTATGAGAAGATATATTCAACTAGAACCCTTCCTGTTATATTACCACTGTGCTTTGAATAGACAATCTGATCTCAGCAGCCTACATCATATCTAAAACCTGTGGGAAACCCCTTAGTTTCAAGGCATTGAACTAAAGCCAATATCTCTGTTAAGGCAGGTATTTTAAGAGTATCAAGTGTTTTTTCCCTCTGAATGTAGTTCTTGTCTATATATTTCATCTTTGTAAATCACAGCTTATTTCTATTCCCTATGTAGAACATGAATCTTGCCTTTGATATCCCTTTAGAAAACTCTTCTTCCACCATTTGTTGACTAATAATTTTAATGATTTGATTACCATTATTTGTCTTTTATTGTATGCCACCCAAAGTCCTTCCTTGTTGCTGAGAAAATCGACATCTTTGTCAATTAAAATTTATTCTTTGTATATACTTAATAAATCATTTTGTACTCCTGATCCATGTTGATAATATCCTTTTTCTGGGCATTCTGTTCTATGAATAATCAAGAAAATATAGGCTGGGGATGTGGCATAGTGGTAGAGCATTTGGTTAGCAAATGATGTTAAGATCTTGTGACCTTACACTTTTGACTACATCAATTCCAGCACTGCAGAAAAAGTAAAAAATAACAAAGGAATAATTTACAAATATATTTATTAACATATTTTATAAAGTATAGAGAATAATAGAGTCACATGACTTTTTACAATAGTCACAAGCCTACAACATAGAAGGTATTCACCAAGTGTTAAATTAATGAAAAATGCTGATTAATTAATGATAAATACTGTGCAGTGGTACACACCTGTAATTTCAGCATCCTAAGAGGCTGAGGCAGGAGTACTACAACATTGACTCTGCCTGGGTAGCATAGCAATTTAACAAAACCCTGTCTCAAAATAACAAAGGGCTGAGGATGTAGCTCAGTGCAGAGGCCCTGTATTCAATCTCCATTACCACAAAAACAAAAGTAGAAATACACTTTATGGTTTTTAACTTGAAAAATGTGCCTAAACCCACAAGTAATTAAGTTCAACCTAAATTTCCTCATGTGCCTTTAATTTTTTATTAATAAATTTTACTTTTCGAACAATTCAGGGTCATAGCAGGACTGAACAGAAACCTGAGTCCTTGTCTAATCTGTGTCCTTACCAAGGGAGTCTTTACTATTGTCCTCTTGCCCTAGAATGGTATGTTCATTTCAATAAACCTGCATTAACATCATTATCACCCCAAGCTCATAGTTTACATTAGAGCTCATTTTTGGTGTTGTACATTCTGTAGGTTTTGAAAAATGTAAAATGGCACATGCCTTCCATGGTGCTGGGATAAGAACAGTGTCAGTGCCCTAAAAACCCTCTGTGCTCTACCTGTTCTTCCCACCTCCCTGTCTGCTAACCATTGGAAGCCACTATCTCTTTACTGTCTCCACAGTGTTGGCATTTCCAGAATGTCACAGAATTGAAGTCACATCGTGTGTAGCCTTTTAAGATTAGCTTCTTTTAGTAAAGTAGTATGCATTTAAATTTCCTTCATGTATTTCAATGGTATGATGTCTCATTTCTTTCTAGCACTGAGTAATATTCCATTATCTGGACATACCACAGCTTATTTATTTGCCTACTGAAAAATATCTATGTTGCTTCCAAGTGTGGACAATTATGAATAAAGGTGCTTCATCCCCAGTGGAGCAATGTTCAGAGCCAGAGGCCTGGAAAGAATACTGGATCATGAATACTGTAACTTCATGAATGGATCATTGAGTTCAAAATCTGATGATATCATTGGGAGATGATGAAAACTTAAGAAATGGTGCTTAGTTGAATGAAGGGAATCTTAGTGGTGTGCCCTTGAGGTCAACCCCTCAATCTTCCTCAGTCGTATACCCAGCCTACTAATGGCCCATCAAAGTACTTTCATTTCTGCTACAGTGCTTTTGATCTCTAGCATTTCTTTATATTCTTTCTTATAATTGCCTTCTCTGTGCTTATATTCATGTGTTCTTGCGTGAATTTTTCATTAAAGCCCTTCAAATATTAATTCTAGGGTTTTTTTTAATCCTAGTCTGATAATTCCAACATACTTGACATATCTGTATCTGCTCTGATGTTTTTCTATATCTTCAAACTGGATTTTGCTATCTAGTACACCTTGTAATTTTTGTTGGAAATCATATATGATAGTCTGAGTATAAGAAACTGCAGCAAATAGACCTTCATTTGTGTGGAATAAGAAGCATTCTGTAGTTCTCTAGTGCCTGGTGCTCAATCTTTTGATGAGCCTGTGTTCTGGACTGTGAACTCCACCAGTACTTCTCAGTTTTGTTTCCCCTACTCTTAGGTGGGACATGATGACTGGAGGGAGCTGAAGTTGAGAATTTCCCTTCCCACAGGTCATTTATGGCCTTTCAAAACCCCAGCAAATAAGGTTCTGGTAAAATAATGTCCTCTGAAGGCAGGCCTTGTCATGAAAAACAGAATGCTCTGAAATAAAAACTAGGTAATACCAAACAGGGGTATAGAACTTTTGCAAAAGGAAAAGGGACAGGGAGAGAATGAGAGAAAGGAGGGGTGGGGAATGAAAAAAAAAAAGATGTGTTAAGTTCAATACCAATTCCCCAAAAGGTATTTAATCATTTTATATTGAAAACATACACTAAAATTTTTTTAAAGTAAAACAATGTTCTGGCATTTCAAATTTCAGAATGGTTCTTTATAACTCTCCTGCTACATTCAGAAGGAAACTTTTCTCTGATATTCATTGTGAAGACCTGGTAGAACTCTTGGAAGTAAAACTCAAAAAAAGTACCTCTTGCGTTAAAGTTTTTAACTCACAGGTTTTTCATTCAGAGCTTCCAACAACTGGTTAATTACAGTTGAGTTCTACGCGGGAAGTTTTTGCTCTTGGGTCTTTGTGATTTGGTACATTCACCTGTCTGTATCTAATTTGGTGGGCAGAGTTTTGATCCACTTTTCTGATGGACATAAAAAGTTGATTTTTCAGTTTTCTTAGCATTTTTATTTGCTGTTAACATAAAGTAGGAACTTTTTGTATCCTCACATACTGGCCTAGAAACTGGAAATCTTACATCTTAATTTATGTATTTACTTTTTTCTGCAAGACTAGTCAATACTACATTGTTTAAAAACATCTTTCAGCAAAATTACTGTGTAGTCAATAGTCATTTCAAAGAAATTAGTCCTATATTTTATTATTGCAGGACTCTTATTTGCTGCATTTCAAATAAAAGAAACTGATGTTCCTTGAAAATACCTTGGTGTATTTAGGATGTTGAATATGAACCATGGGATTTGAGGACAAGCTGCCTGCGACATCTGTCAGCCATTGATTGCCAGGGTTGAATATGAACCATAATGACCTTTTTGTGTTAGATACCTAGTTCATTGACAAAAATGTATCTTTGTACTTTTATGCCTATCTCTTAATGCCATGGCCAACTCAGATCTGAAGTTCCTCATCAAGAGGATTTTTATACATATCAAAATACCATGTTTTCACAGAACTCAGGTACACCACAAAGAAATCTGGATATGTGGTTTAACATTTACCACTGATTTTTTTAGCCTTAGTATCACAGGCAGAGGCTCTCAAAGAAGAAAATGACAGCCTCCGTTGGCAGCTAGATGCCTATCGCAATGAGGTAGAATTACTCAAGCAAGAACAAGGAAAAGCCCACAGAGAAGATGACCCAAACAAGGAGCAGCAGGTGAAACTCCTGCAACAGGCCCTACAAGGAATGCAGCAGGTACAGCCATCTTGGTTTTCTGCACATTTATTGGTGTGTCTTTTTCTTTTTTTTTATCGGTACCGGGGATCAAACTCAGGACCACACACTTGCAAGGCAGATGCTTATGCCGCTGAGCTAAATCCCCAGCCCCATTCTGCACATTTTTAAAGAGTTGCAGTTCTTCACCTGTAAAAGTGTCTCCTGCAAGAAAATAAAATATCAAATCTACTGTTCTTGATGTTGTAGTTGCTGACCTGACTAAGGAAGGGAATATGTAGCGTGGTTAATGCCGTATTCTGGTTAATGCAGACACAGCAGTGAATCTGGCTATTCAAAGAATAAGCATTCAATGAAAAATGCTTAACATTAAAATTACACTGGACATAATTGTGTCTTTTCTTTGTGCTTCAGAAGGTACTTTGGGATCTAGATATGGTCTCAGTGTCTTTATGAAGAACTTCAGTTATTTAAATATGAAAGAGTGCTGTTGAGTAAGTATTTAGATGATAGAAAGACAAATAATACAGACTTTTAGAAGGAATGGCAGGAATACTATCCTTGATTTGGTTCAGAATGGGGATATTATGAGTCTGTAAGTATCAGTGCTTTAGGTACATAATACCAATTTGTTTTTATTATGTTTTCACAATCATTTATGTGAATGAGCTTCCCTGCATGTAATTCCAAGTATAAAGGTAAAGTGTTACAAGTGCATCCAACTGCATTAGGTAGTAGGTGCTTAGTTAGTATCTAGAAGTTTGATGTAACTGTCACCCCAATGAGCCCACAATTTAAAAGATATCAGCATCTGCTTTCATGAAACTGAAGGAGTAGTGCTTCTGAGTAAGGGTACTATTCCTCTCCTGTCATGCCAGACTGCCAGCCATTTTCTGTACAACCTAAAATTGTGCAATAATTTTTAACTTTATGCCCTGGAATTATCTAGGCAAAGATAATTGCTGGTTGGAAATTATAAATGATGAGCAGGGAATCTCTTCTGGCACTAACCAGCCCCATGTTATTACTTCTGCCACCACTGTCTTTCTGTGTGGCAGGTAGCATCACATTAATATTTCACCTTTCCTATTAGCAAAATGTGTGAAGTAATGCTTACCTCCCCTTTATTGTCATCATGGAGTTTAATTAAAACACATAAATTATACCAAAGAACCTTAACCAAACCCATTATACTCTGTTTTGTAGCCCTTCCAATAGTCTTTTACAAGCCTTTGAAAAGTAAGACTTCAGAAATGTTTTCATTTTGTTTTTTCCTCTCCAACATTGATTTTGAAATCATTACACATAGGGACATTTCCAGCACTTAAATGCAATATGAAGATAATGAATATTTTTTCATTTTGTTACTTCAAAGACCTCAAAAAACTAAGTCTCTACCTCCTAAAAATTAATTTCACTCATTTGAATTACCTTTTATTGGGGAATAGCTTTATACTGAATGATAAAATTTCATCCATCTTATTTTAAATGATATATAGTACAATATGTGTTCAAGTACATGAACTCTGGTGTTGACCTAGCCTAGTTTTAAATATAGTTATGCCACTTCCTATCTGAATGGCCTTAGAAGCCATTTTACTTCTCTAAGTATCAAAGTTAATAATATAAGCTTATTGAGGCTTTAATTGGCTCATTTACAATGCTTAGTATATATTAGGTCCTCAACAAATAATACTTGTAATTATTAATAATGACAAGTCCGACTCCTTTCTTACTGATATAGAAAGTAACATAGGTGAAATGTGGATTCTTTATTACTTTACTTATGAAAAGTGAAGTTGACTTCACAAATGGGTATTTACAAGAATGCTTTACAACATTAAATTCACATCAACACAGCAATCAAAATATTTCCCACACAGCATTATCCTTATCCTTACCCCTCTCCAGAACAGGGACCTAGTAAAAGAAAGAATTCCTTAAATACGCCAGATGAAATAAAGTGAAAAGTAATAATTTTTCCAAATTCTACATGGCAAAAGAATTTTGCATGCTAGGGAAAGGTAAGGCAGGCTTGCCTGATATCTAACCTCAGCCAGAGCTTTTTAAGTGAAGTGTAGCTCTTAGTGACGTGATCATCTTTGGTCTTTCTTGTAGCATCTCCTCAAGGTCCAAGAGGAATACAAAAGGAAAGAAGCTGAACTGGAAAAAATCAAAGATGACAAGTTACAGGTGGAAAAAATGTTAGAAAATCTTAAAGAAAAGGTACAAGAGTCCTCAGTGAACCTTTTTCCTCTTCTCCTTTCCCTTTTTCTGTGACAATGAAAATGCCTAGGAATTTCTGTAGCAGAAATAAATATTAAAATTTTTGGCTGGCTGGGGATTTACAGCACAATTCCAGAATAATTCTTGTATCAAGGACACTTCTCTTAGATTTGAGTCTATGGCTTTTCTAAAGGTTCTAGATAGTAGATTTTTCAGTCAAGTCTGGGCATGGTGGCGTATGCCTGTAATCCCAGCACTCAGAAGGCTAATGCAGGAGAATCACAGTGAGCTCAAGGCCAGTCTGCATTACATTTCAAGACCGTGTCTCATAAAAACAAAAAAAGAAGGAAAGAAAGAAAAATAAAAACAGTCTATCCCTAAAGTGCCTCAGTCTTCCCTCTTGCAGGCCAGCATGCACATCTCTTTCCTGCCTCATCCTGTCAAGCAAACAGCAGGTGGAAATCTCATGTGACACGAAGTAACTTCAGCTGAGTATTTCATTAATGGAAGACACGCTGGGGCAACTAGAGCATTGAGGCTTAGTTTCTTTGCAGACAGTCCGTTTTGTGTAATAATGAACAGCCACAAGTGAGAATAATAGCTAGAACCTGAAAGGTTGGAAAGAAACAAGGAGACACAGTATTCTAAAGCTAGATAATAGCAACAGGGAAGGCAAGATGGGTCTTTATCAAGTGAGATCCTGCTATGGTTAGGACCATCAGTGAGGTCTGCTAACATCTGGATACACTGGTACATTACAACCATGAGTCGGGTGCCCAGTCTATTGAAGGAATATAAACTACCTCTTCTGTCTCCTCCATCCCTGAATACTCAGCTGAAGTTATTTTCTAAAAAAGAAGGGTCTTTGGCCAGAGCTCCGTAATTTTAATATCTTCTGATGAACACAAAAATTAGGAACTTGGACCAGGAGTCTGAAATCAACAATTACACAGTTGCTCAAGAGCTCCTGCTCTTTATCTTCTATGCTCAGCTCAGGAAGATGCAGTGCACTAAAGCCCAGGGTGTGTTTACCAGCACAAAGATATCCCCCAGAGTGCCATTAGGAACTGGCAACCTTGGTGTAGTTGAAACAAATGATCTAAAGTGTTTTCTTCTGAAGGCCATTTGCAATATGCTTTTAATTCTTCCACATCATAAAACCAACTCACTTTCCAGTTTTGTGGGTGCTATTAAAGAAACGAGCACAACCCCAGAGAAATTCATTTATCAAGCTTTTAATTGAAAAGTGCCAAAGCTGTGCTACTTATCAGGCCTTGCCTCATACTATCACAGTTTCTAAATTGTCCCAGAGCTGCTACACAGCTGAGTTTCACTATACACATAAAATGGAGTGTGTAACCAGAAGACAGTAGATAGATGTGGCATTATGCTAATGACATTATGCTCAGAATCACTCATTAGGATTGACATCACAAATTGACTTAAGGACATTTTTATGTAAGTAGCATTACGCTTTGTAAAGAGTTTCATTTAAAGAAACAAGAGGTCAAATGGCATAGAAGAAACTTGCCATGCTGTGCCTGAGGATAAATGTTTCCCATTGTGAAACTGAATATACCATAAAGTGGCTGCCAAACAGAACAAGGAGATCCAACTGATAATCAAAACACAGTGAGTCAGAATATGTTTTTTCTTGTTATTTTAAGCAAAGCATCTTTCAGAAGAATTTATGACAGTTCATTATAAACTGATCTTCTCTGGGAAGCTGATTTGTTACCAAATATCACAACCTGACACAATTAGGTTAGGAAGCAAAGTACCATCACATAAGATGGCAAAAAATAATTTCAGGCTGAAAGGAAAGCAAAAGTTTCAGTGAAGAGGGATCCTTTTTCCTTGGTTTGGTTTGAGTTTCTTGACAGTAAGCCACACTGTGAGTTTTCGTCAATGTCAGTCCCAATATAACAATGGGACTTATGTTTATCTTACTGCAGAAAAAAACTAGCTCTTTGAATCTACTAGTCAAATTTGACATAAGAAACATCCTTTCAATATGTCTTCTAATTTTTTTTAAATACCAGCTATAATAAAATCAAAATCAAGTTTCAGTAAGGTCCCAGTTCTATTCAAAATGGCTAAGACTTCTTAGGAAATCATAACATCTTAAATAAATTCCAACCCATTAAACTCTCACACTTAAGAAATGGCTTACTGGATCACTTAATATTTTAAAGGTGTTAGAAACAGATGTGAGTCTGGGGCTTTGGTTTAAATCTTAACTTGGCATAATTGTTACTGCCTGGGTTGAATTCTAAAGGCCAAAGATTGAGTAAGTCATCAAAGGGTCTCCCTCTGACTATGGCCAGGAAGCCTGGAAACCCACAAAACAATATGGCTTGCAGCAGAGACCATTCATTTAATTCAGAGATGCATCTGGGAAGCTTTGAAGGCACCTTTAAAGAAAACAGAAGGATTCCTGCCTCTTCCAAGGGCTTGTAGAAGGGAAGAAGTGACAAAGCAGCCGAGTCTGAGTCAGCCATGAGCTGCCCCTGCAAGGAGCAATTGCCCAGCGTTTTCTTTTACAAAAGTAAATGACTGAAGCAGCGATTTCTTTTATTCTTTCTTTTGAATGCTCCTCCTGAACATATATAATGCAGAAATATGTTCTCAAGATCCAAGATAGAAAGAAAGGTTCACAAATGATCAGGAGGCATTTTTTTTTTTAGTGTGGTTGCTGGGCTTGGATTTCACTGACGTATCCCATTAAATCTACCAACTACACTAAGCAAGATAAAATTTCAATACAAAAGAAAGCCATTAACTAATGATATTTTGATCATGGTCATTTCTTGCTGTAAAGTCAAAAATATTCGAACAGATGATGTGCTTACTAGAAAGAAGAATGGGAAACAATCACTAGTCAATAGATAGAACCTCTGATTTTTAGTTCAGAAGGCAATAGTTTAGGACTTGTGAGTAGATTGGCTATATTACAAAATTGTTCATTCAGAGGAGACTCACCATTAGCTGACAGTAAACCTAAAAGTTACAGCAAAAAAAAAGAGTGATCCTCTTAATAGTGAATGACCTGGGGTGAAATACTGGCAATGTAATCTTAGTCTACTTACCTAATTTACATGATAACTTTATTTGTGTTATCTGTAGAATAGAAGCAATGCATATGTAATGGTACCTGACATCAAGTTAGTACACAATAAATGTTGAGTCTGGTTCCCCAGATTCCTTGTATAGAGTCAAGAATGATGAAAGCAGGATAAAAAAACTGGTAAAGACAAATGTTTAGATTTTTCTGTTTTGAATCATATAAAGATGCTTTGGAATATCTGTGGTGCTTTTGTAATTCATGCTATTTTGCCCTTATTTGATTATCCACACTGAACAATACTGTTTTTATGGTCCTGTGTTTAAAAGGTCCTTGTTGTATAGTTAATAGAAACCAACTCTGTCACCAAATAGTGAAGTGACCCAGGAAGCATGTTATTCCCACAGGAAAACTGTACTTCTAGATTGTGTGCATCAAGCCAGGAAAGTGACTACCCTCTTGAGAAGACCATGAATGGCAGTCCTATCAAATCTGAACGTGAAGCACTGCTAGTGGGTAAGGAAACTAACACACTCATAAGATGTAGTACAGGTGGGAAGGGGTTTACTCACAATTGATATGCACATGCTAAGCATTTATGAAGCAGGACAGCATACAAACTCAGAGTCCTGAAGATGATAGGGTAAGAGCAAGTACAGGTTTCCATAAAATCTATAGGAGCAGCTCCCTACCCTCTTGAGGCTCCTTAAAACCCCTGCCACATCAAGTGTTTCTGCACAAGCATGTTAAGAGAAGGTCAGCTGCAAAAGCACACTGTGGTTCTGTTTAATTCTCTGTGCAAGGGTAGCCGAGCCCTCTCACAGCCACTCAGGGGACTACTGCAGTGTTGAGCAAAGAGCATTTTTTCCAGATGAGACTCTGGATCAGGTGTCTGCACCTCAAGTTTTTCAGGCTACTGGCTGAGCCATTGTTACTTATGACACTTCTGACACCAAATAAGAGGGTAATTTTTTGCCTCCTGACACCAAATACATACTACCTTTGCTAACTACACTATTTCTCCAACTTCAACTGGGTGTCCTACCATTCAACTCAATTAAATTCTGACTCCCACTAGTCAGAGTTAAGTTACTTTCATATTCCACAGGTATAGGGGCTAAGTCTCACAAATCTGTCCTTATTTTAGATACCACTCTCAGATATCAGCTCCCCAGATGTGTCAGTCAGCTTTTCTTTACTATCGAAAGTAGCTGTGATAATCAGCATATAAAAAGAAAGAGGATATTTTGGATCACAGTTTTAGAGCTTTCAGTCCATGATTGATTGGCCTCGTTAATTTTGGACCTGTGACAAGACAGCATATCATGGCAGCAGTGTGTGGCAAAACCATTTACTTTGCAGCCAGGTTGCAAAAGGGATGGGGCAGGGCTGGGGTCCCAGTGCCTCTTTGTGGGTGTGCCCCCAGTGGTCAGAAGACCTCCTAACAGGTCCCACCTCTTAAGGCTTTTAGCACCTCTCAACAGTGCTGTGAGATAGGGACCACGCCTTTTCATATTGGCCTATGGAGGACACTCCAGATGTGAATTGCAGCTCCAACTTCCCCATAATACTGTTCGATTTGGCTAGAGTAAGAAGGTGCCATAACTGCCACCCCACAAGTTCAATAATTTGCTAGAACAGCTCACAGAGCTCAGGAAAGTACTTACTTCCTATTACTAGTTTATCTTAAAGGACACAACTTAGGACAACCAAATGGAAGAGATGCATGGAGCATGGCCCTAGGAGGGGTTCTATAGTCGTATGTTGGCTCACAAACTTAATTCTTTCCATGATTCAGGTAGAAAACCCATTTGGACAAGAACCAAATCAAATTCAATGGTTGGTTTAATGGTGACCTTATAGGAAAATTTGATTTAGTTCACTTCCATTTCAGTTTGTGACCAGAATTGTGGGAAAAGTTAAGTTTGTGAACTGAGGTACCATTACATATCCTTTCTGGGCATGCCACCCTCCCCACATTGTGATGTGCTCACCAACTGGGAAACTCTGAACTCCATCAATTAGAAGCATCTAGCAAGGTTTCATTATATAGGTGTGGTTAGAGGGAAGTACTGAAAGTTCTAACCCTCTAACATTCCTCTCTCTTACTAGCAGCCAGTCACCAACCTGAAGGGCACCCCAGCCATTCATAAACATACAAAAGATACTCTGTCACTCCAGTAATTCCAGAGTTTTAGGAGCTGCATGCCAGGATCCAGGACAACTAGCAAATATTTATTTCTTTACTACTCACATTGACAGATGATTCAAGAGGCTGGATGTGGTGTGCTGGACAGTGGTGGGCTCTGATGAAACAAATACTAGTATGAAGTATTGCTCTCATTATATAAAAATTCACTCAGAAAGTCAAGATAGCAGAAGTGGTTCAAGAATCAGGCAGACCTATCTTGCCATGTTGACCCCACCATGCTTTCTTGAGCTTCAGTTCCTCTCTCTGGATGGTAATGTCACCAATCTGAGGAGCAGAGCGGTTGCAGGTATTACGTATGATAATTAGCCTAAATCACTCAGCACCAGAGAGGCCCCTTCTAACACTGAACAGTGCTATTCACAGATGTTTATTGGCTTTATATTCCATTTGGAGAACAGTGGCAGATTGAAATTCTAAAATATTCAGTCATTTAGGTGGGCCAGTTAATCCCAGATGCCTTATATGAAGGTGAGCCACACAGCAGCCATGCTCTAGTCTCCAGAATCCTCCACACTGACTGCCTTCTGCATATTTTCAAAACATACCTTCCTCCTGTGGTAATGGGTATCTCACTCACTTAGCGCTTTGATATGTTAATCAAGATGCACAAAGGGATCTGCCATTGAGGCCTCAGGAAAAGGGACAACTTTCAAGGTTTTCCAACTCAGTTTTTAACAAATCAGCATAGCAAAAGACATGTCAGAGAAGTGCTTGGTGTAGGAAGCCTCTGTAATGGATAGCCTGAGGGGGAAAATGATCCTTAAAAATAAGTGACTCTTGTTCTGTGTTTTAAAGAATGTAGTCTTGGCCTGACAGAGAGAAAGAGAAATCTATTTTTTTAAAAATCTGTTCTGTGAATGTTAACTCACAAAAACTGCTCGGTGTCTTTAAACTATGGAGTTATTTCTTGGCATTTGACAGTCTTTTTTGGCTGTAGCATCTAGAATTTCTTTCAACGTGTACTGTCTTCTTCAGAATTTAAATTTGTCAACTACTATCATGTTGAGAAATTTAATTTACCTAGCCTTTAAAGAATAATGTCATGTTAGAAGCAGCAGCATCCATTTTGAGCAGATTTTGAGCTCCTCCATCAGTTTCTCCTAAAGTCCTCCAAACAGTCTCTTTGCCATCCAATACTTGAAAGATTTTTTTTCAAACAACTGACTTCACTTCAAGCTACAAACTTGTGCTATTCTTTGTCAGTTTTGTAGAGGAACAGAAAAGTGGTAGTTTATAAACCAAATAAGACTTCATTTTTTTCCTGGCAGTTTTCAGCAAACACAATTCTGGGTCTGTTCAGTGTCCAAAGATCTTATAAAAGGGGATGAATTCAAAATAGTTTAAATAGTATATAGTACTTTTGAGCATTTTTCCCTTCTTGCCAGAGAAAGAGTACAATAATTAAATTAATGGACAGAATAATTAAGGCAGTTAGAGCAGCTGCTAATCATCACCCCAGAGTCAGGGTGAGTAAAAGTCAGGTGTATCCCTGTAGGCCGCCAACTGCCTTAAGAATTCTGTTATGTGAAGAGATTCAGGACTGTAAGCACAGCATGCTAGTGACCACTAGAGTCAGCCATGAATGGAATGTTTAGCTTTTCTCTAAAGAGCTACTCACAAAATAAAACGCAAACATAATCAGCAGATTCTGTCATGAGAAGCACTAAGTTAATCAACAAAGTACCTGATGTGTATGTTTGCCCCAACACCAAGACATTAGAGAGACTAAAGTCTAATTTTAAAAAGTTGGCCTTCTAGGTGTAGAAAAAAACTGCAAAAGTATAGCATAATCTAAAGTCATTATTAAATTCCAGAACTAAAATATCCCTTAACCACATGTTATGGAAATGACTGCTTTTTTTTTTTTTTTAATCATTACCGGGGATCGAACTCACAACTGCCTGCTTGCAAGGCAGGTACTTATGCCTCTGAGCTGAATCCCCAGCCCTGGAAATGACTGCTTACATGCCAGCTTTTCTGCCTGATGCAGTACAGTAAAAGGCAGCATGTGTAGTGATTAAGAGCAAAGGTCTGAGTTCAAATACTAGCTCTGCCACTTAGCAGCTGTGTGATCTTGATCTTTCCTTTCCTGGTTGCTTCAACTTTCTTTGTCTCAGTGTCCTCATCTGTGAAATGGGGAATACCTACCACATAAGGTTACTATAAAGGTTAAATGAACATATATAAATTCAGAGTAGTGCCCAGTTCATTTATGTAGTACATGTTTAGGTGTTACGCATGCATTAGTTCTCTGTCACTTGAAATATCTCAAGGAATGCCATGCTCAAATGTAACCTCTGGGATTATCTCTATAGGGATTATCTCTACATTCCTTCATGTTCACCCATTTGGAGCAAGCATTGAATACATCTGTTCCTACTTGCACCGTCTTGATAATAAGGTATGTGGGGACTGCAAGGGGAGACCCAGGGGATGTAGGTCTCTTTGAGACCTTACTTGCTTCAGGCATAAGTAGGCTATTAGTTATTGATCTAAGGAAGTTTCTTTCACTTGCTGTCTCACTGTGATTCAGTGAGCTTCTTTCTTGCAAGAGGGATGACTAACTGTCCAGGATGGTGTAGGACTGAACAATTTCCTTGCACTTGAGGCTTTAGGTGCTAAAACTATGAAAGTTTAGGGCAAGGTTGAATAAGTGGGCCACCTTACTTTCAAGATACATCTGAGAATTTTCCTCCCTTCTCTTGATTTACATAATGACTGTAAACCAGCTTTCCTGCCCGTCCAACTTTTGTCCTGGGCCCTTTTCCATGAGCAAATGTTGATTTTTCAAAATTGGCTTATGGCAAATATGCCTCCCACTATCGCTAATGTATTATCTACTATGAAATAACTAAGGAAAGGACAAAAAGTGTTGGAACAAGAAGCTGAGCGTTTCAGCCAAGCCCTGATGCTCAGTCTCACAGTTAGGAAGGTGGCTACTAATACAAAGATGACTACCTAAAACAAGCCCTAAAAGTACTTTTTGTATTAAGGTTGGGGGGGGGGGCATGTGTCTGTCTGTCTGTCTGTCTGTCTGTCTCACTGTATAGGAAGTGAAAAAAGAGAAACAACACATAGAAGTAGGAACACAGAGCACTGCACATTCCTGTTACTTCGAAAGTGAATGCATGTGTGAAGAATTCTGCGTCCTTCCCCTCCCAAAAGCCTTGGCAGCTTCGGAAGGTCTCAGATAGCACCTCCAACACTGAGCAGCCATCATTAAGCTGACCATATGCCCAAACCCTTCCATGCAGCTGATAACAGCTTTTTCCAGTAGCAAGCTCAGTGAACAGGGACTCGCAGTCACAGCAGAGGAATACCACTGCCTGAAAGCCGCTCTACCAACACACATAAATGCCCAAGAAAGCTGAGCATATTAAGTCATACACACACACTAACACACAGCACACCATCATCATCATTGTCATCATCCTGTAGTAAGACAGCACTGGCAAAGAAGACACAACTGAGAGCATGAGACTGCTTTGGCATGGAGGGTATTCTTTCTGCCCTGCAGATCTGCACCAGTGATGTGGAATGCCTCATGAGTAGACTCCAGCATACCTTCAAGCAAGAAATGACAGGAGTTGGAGCCAGTCTGGAGAAGAGATGGAAATTCTGTGGGTTTGAGGGCTTGAAACTGACCTGAATTTCTTTGCCTGCCAACCTGGGATCCTGAAAATAAATATGTGTTGGACAAGGTTAGGAAGTAATTTGTATTTTCAATGAATTTCAAGTGGAATTTGCTTTAAATTTGTCAGTTCATTCCTGGACTATCTCTTGAGTTACAATAAGGATCCTAGAACAGCACCACGAGCTACAGGTCCTAAAAAATTGCCTCAAACTTCAAGTGCTGTAACTCCCTCCCTTCTGCCAATTGGTTGTCTTTTCTTACTAGTAGTATTGAAAAAGTCCTGAGACTAAAAAAGTATTTGGAGTGTTTTCAGTGTCTGTACTGCTGTTGTAGACCTCGGTATTTTTTAAAAACCCTGTTAACTGAAATGTTTTAATGATTTGTATGTGATTTGTGTTTCCAAACTTTTCATGTTAATGTTGCTGCTAGCGGCAATAGGAATAACAGGTGTGCTAAGTACTCTGTGTAACTGCCATTGTCTTTCCAACCCCTAGTAGACCAGTAAATGAATAACAACACATCAGCGTCTTCTAGATGGTGCTTACCAGGTTGACCTTTGAAACAAGAAAGCATGGTGTGTGGCTTTTTGTAAAATTACTCTGAACCAAAAGTTGACAAATGTTCCAAAGTTATTTTCTCCAGTAGATAAAAAGGTCTATTTCAGAATTTAAAAAAATAAAAATATATGTCTTCACAGAAAGCAAGTATTCAGTATGACTAGCATGTGTTTATACTATTCAAAACCTCTTGTAAATAGTCTGCTTTTAAAGGAGGGCATGGTTGGTTTTCTACAAATTAAAACATATTCACATATGGACACATGTGCACACACATTAGCAGAGGAAGTTATTTCAATACTTTCTCCCTTGTGGCCTTCTCAAATGTGTTGGTCTCTATTTTCTGCTACCAGTGTGTTGAACTGCAAACTGTGTACTGCTCTAAATACTATGTTTATTTCATGCTGAATGTTTGTAAAGAGTTGATATGAGCATAATAGTAATGAACTAATGGGTAAATAATGAGCCAGAGTGTGTGAGGCTTCCTACAAATTGGTCTGCTGCGCCTGGAGTGTTGATTGCTGGGGATACTTCCAGTTCTAAAATGCCCAAACAGCAGGCTGCAAAGGTGGCATGGAAATGGACCACTGAGGAAGTTCTGCTTGGTAGGTAAGGAAAGGAAAGGACAGGGCTTTGGAGCTAACACCTGAGGCAGAGATAGTGTTTTATTTATTTATTTTCGTGGTAGTAGCAGTGGGGCTTAGAACACAAGCATGCCCTCCCTTGAACCGCCTCAAAGGTAAGAGGATGCACTGAATAAGCAAAGCCAATGGAGAGTATTTCAGAAAAATGCTTTGTAAATGAAATGCCACTAGTGTTCAAAGTTGTATTTTTAAAAGATAAATATTCCTTTATTTATAACCTAAGTTTGTGTTTTGTTTTGACTAACTTGTTTTCTAAGTGACCCTTTAGTAGATCACCTCAGTTTCTCCCTTTGTATCACCAGGCTGTTAGAAGAAGATGCCAAATCTACTTGACAGCTAGAAACAGCTTCCCTTAGCAGCCCATTTCTGCCCAAACTGGCTTTCCCTCAGGCACCCCACTATGACCCCAGAGGAAGCTTGGGTTCTATTTACACTAGCTTCCTCTCTGAAGCACCTGTGTCATCAACACAGTAGAAAATGTGGGTTCACCAGTCTGGGGCTCCCAGGATGCCTTCTTTTAAATAATGCCTAGGAAATAGGGCTGGGGATTTAGCTCAGTGGCATAAGCGCCTACCTGGCAAGTGCAAGGTCCTAAGTTCCATCCCAGGTACCACAAAAACAAAAAAAGAAACCTAGGAAATGAAGACAGTTTTTTAAGGTAACAGCTGCCCTGCCCAAATACCTCACCCTCCTTTGTTTACACTGCAAACTGTTTCTGTTACACCTGCCACTTTGATCCAGAGATATCTCCCAGTGTATTGAATATATTAGCTCTGATGGTTAATTTTCTGTGTCAACTTGACCATTTCTATGGTACCACTCCAGTATAGATGTTGGCGTGAAGATATTTTTCAGATGTGATTAACATTTAAACCAATTAACTTTGAGTGAATCAGAGTACCTACTAGAATGTGAGTGGACCTCATCTAATCAGTTAAAGGACTTACGAGGAGAGACTAAGGTCCCCTGAGGAATGAATTCTGCCTCCAGGCTACCTTTAGACTCAAAACTGCAAGATCAATCCTGCCCTCTTGCCAGAAATTTTCAGCCTGCTGGCCAACCCTCAAACTTGGCAACCCCCACATTACAAGAGCCAATTTCTTTCTCTGTCTCTGTCTCTGTCTCTTTCTCTCTCATTCTGTTGCTGGGGAACCCTGACTAATAGGAATGCAGAGTTGTTACAATGTGTAAAAATGAGTATGTTTGCATTATACTACATAATCAAATTGCAGCACATGTGATTTCACAATTCTTTACATTCACCATAAGAGATTTATTAATGAAGTTATTTTTCTTTCAAACTTCTCAGTGCTATTTATGGCCCTGGTGTTCCTCCATAATTTTGAAATATTGCTGTTTTGTTATTTTTATGAGATACAGCTGTTAGATATTTGCCAGAAAATAATGAATAGAAGTTTCCTCTTACTTTACAAATGGTTGTTTCATCTCCTTCCCTAGTCCTGTGGTATCTCCAGATCTGATTTTGTAATATTGCCAAGCTGCTTGTTAAGCATCTTCATTGCAAATGAATAAGTTATTTTTTAAAGAAAAGTAGACACGTATCTGTGTTCCAAGTTATATAGAGATTATTTTTTTTTAATTTGGACCCCCAATAGCATGATGGCACATACTTGTAATCCCAGCATTCAGGAGGTTGAGGCATGAATTTGAGGCCAGCCCTGGCTAACATAATGAGTTCAAAGTCAGCATGAACTGCATATTGAGAACCTGTCTCAAAAAACAACAAAAAACTGTAGACCTCAAAATACATGGTTTTCATGTAGTATAGAATAAACTATATTTGAAAGGGCAGTGTAACTGTGCAAGAACTATCTTCTCACCCAGTAGAACTATTCAGATGCCTAGGACAGTATATCTCATAGACCTGCCTCCATTTTTCTTCACAATTGCTACCATCTTCTGAGTATCTTTTTGTAATCATGCTGCTCAAATCACCTCCTGCTGTGGTTCTACAGGCAGGTTACATGGTCACAAGATTCAGTATCCTTATAGACAAAACTTAGAAGAATTCATACTTCCCTCAAGAGTGTAAACTCTTAGAAAGGTGAGGAAAGGTGTAACGAGCTAAGACCTACAGACAGCCTGGCCAGTGTCTGGCCCACGACGAGTTCTCAACAAAGAGTTATAATAATGATTATGTCCAGCCAAAGTTCCTGATCTTACCAACATTTTTAAAAACATGTTTTATGTTCATACCCAGAATTGTGGGATAAATTGTGTTAGTAGGCTTCAACAAAGGAAAATCAGCTGTTCAAACCTATTCCAAACATTTTCCATATCCCACACACTCTGCTAGACACTGGAGGATACAAAAGGAATAGGGTCGGCCCTTGCCTTTTAAAAGACAGAAAGGCATCTTTTAACACATTGAGTTTAAGGCCTCCACCCTTTAGTCAAAGCCATAAAAACTCAAGTAAAAATATTCAGTGTTTACCAATGATGATGTATTGATGAGGTGAGAATGATGTCTGTCTCTTCAGACCTGAACTATCACTCTCAGTTCCCTCACCCTGCCTCCTTTCCCAAGTGTAAATTCTATTTCCTCTGTTCACTGTCACATCACCAGAGCCTGGGACATTGTAAGTATACAATAAATGTTTTGTAATGAATATTTGCATAGCATGCTTAATACTGTGCAAATAATAATACATAATAATATTTAGTTACTTTTTTTTCTTGTTGCTGAGGCAAAATACACAACACCCCAAGTTAAAGGCGAAAAGGTTTATTTCAGCTCATAATTTGTAGAGGTTTCAGTCAATAGTCATCTCACTCCGAGGCAGTGTGGCCTGACAGAGGGGTGTTGGGGAGGACAAACAGTCCATGGCATGGCAAAGCTGGCAGAATGCCACAAGCACCAAGGAGCAGCAGCAGCAGCAAAAGCAGCCTGCATTCTTTCTGTTCCTTTATATTCCATCCAGGCTACTCACTCTTTGGGTAGTACTACACATATGTGGTGTGGGGCAGCCTTAATCCCAGTATCACACACTCTCTGAAAAGCTACACCTGTGAGTGGATGAGGCTTTGGGGAGACATGTAGGTACAAACCATAACAGTAATAAATGTAACATTGATCAATGAGTCCCACCAACCAGGATATAGGTATATGATAGATTGATGATAAAAACACTCATTCACTTTTACTACAATGTTAAAAGTAGATGGTATTCACTGCTGATTCAGCTGAGACTTTAAGGTATAAAGTAACTAGCTTGAATTTTGAAAAGGCAGAGTCAAGATGAAACCTGGTCTTTCCAACTGCAAGCTCAAAATTTTCCACTGCTCCAATATTTTATTTAACCATCAAACCAACCTAATTGGTAAGTATTGTTATAAGCACTTTATTATTTATGTGCCATTATAAATTATCTGATATGTGCAAGTCATGGCCTTAAAATTTAAGGAGTAACTCAACATGACTCCTTCCCTCAAGAGCTGATGTTTCTGTGAGAGACCCTGCTAAACAACTATCATGGACCAGGTACTGTAGGGGAGGACACAAATGTTAGGGAACTTGAAAGATGGGTAACAAGAGAAAGTAGGCTCAGGAAAGTTTGATTACTTGACCTAGGTGAGCAGCAATATGTGACAAAGCCCAGAAGCTGAATGCAAGTTAACCTGGCTTCAATTTGTGTTTTCCCTATTATACCATGGTGCCTTAGGTCACTTTCTAACACTTTCACTTAACTTCTCTGAGATGTTTTATATTCATCTATAAAGAGAAAATCTAGCTACACATGGTGGCACTCCTGCAGTGCCAGCATTCAGAAAGCTGAGGCAGGAGGGTCACTGCAAGTTTGAGGCCAGCCTGGACTACGTTCTGAGACCCTGACTTTAAAAAAAGATGAAAATCTAAGTATAATTCCTTCAAATAATTGTTTATGAGTCTTTGCTCAATATAGAGAACCTGACAAGATCCTCAGTAAATAGCTATCATTGTAATCATACCAAATATGAAAAACTCCAGAACTACCCTTATAGTACTGGGAACCTCAGAGAGGCTCTTAAAAGAAGAGAAACTCAGAATAATTCAAGTGATCAATGCTCCATGAGACTAGGTGAAATTTCTTCTTCTGTCTTCAGAGATAGTCTCAAGATCCTCCAATTCCCATCCTCTCCTCAAATCATGGGCTGCATCCCATTAACAAGGAAGCCAAAAGGGCCATCCATCTCCCACATCCCAAGATCCATAAAACCATCTCAGTTACTTGATTTGATAGTAAACTTTGAAGATCACAGCTTATCTACATTTTGCATCTTAGAGGAATATCTCAAAAGCATACTGATACAATTAATTATTGGGGCAAGAGGAAAAAATAAATTGACTACACACAGATAATGAGCCCTTCAGACTATAGAGCCTTACAGAGACAACGTTAGTACAAAATGCCATGCAGGACATATTAAAGTGCTTTGTATCCAACTGCAGTCACTTCAAGTATGTTTGAATATTAGAGTACCCCAAAATTGACAGTTGCCTGT